TGTAGCCTATTTATGATATCTAAATTACATTTCTTCATAGTCAAAATAATACAATTACTGACCAGTTACAATAGTAATATGGAGATTTGAAATAAATTTCTAGACATTCTAAATGTTTATTCTAGATGTGAAGATTGTCATTTTGTTTGAAACTCCGGAAGCCGGAGTACCCAGAGAGAACCCACTCATGCTCGAGGAGAACATGCAAACTCCATGCAGAAAGACCCCGGGCCGGGAATGGAATCCAGTTCTTCTTGCTGCACGGCAGCAGTGCTACCCACTGCTCCACTGAGCAGCCTTTTCAGATATCAGATATACATATTCATATATGTACAAATTAATAAATATCAAAATGGCTTGCCATTGATACCTTAAAATCCTTTAGCTGAGATGCCATCAGAACGCTTATAATATTAAGTCTGTCTCAGCCCCCGCCTTCAGTGTCCACCATATTGGATCAGTCCATTTGCTGCACATGTTCAGAAAGGTCCAAACAGACAGCAGCAAACCATTTGAAAACAAATGGTGTGAAGAGCAGTGCTGCCAACTTAGCGCTTTTGTTGCTATATTTAGAAACTTTTCAGACCCCTCTAGTACCCCGCCTAGTGGAGACTCTGTCTACAACATATAAAAGCACCAAACTCTGCACTCCAGAGCAAGTAGATTGGTAACCCCACCTCCTGCTCTCCTCTATCTTGTCTGCTGTCATGATTCATTCAGCTATTATTTCATCCAAATGAAAAATGGAGAACAGATAAGCAGATCATGGCTTGTCTACAGTGAAAAGTAGGACTGGTATTTACTTTTGCCGTCACCTTTCTGGAAACACAGGAAGGAGCAATTAGCTAATTGAGCTTAGTGATGGGAAACACTCTTTCATTCCTTTTGAGACAGCATAAAAAGTCAGCTGAGTAAAAAACATAGAGAGGGAAACAACAAGAAAAGGGACAAAACCTAGAAGAAATAATGTATGTCTACTCTATTAAAATGTCTGTATCTGTATAATGGGTCTGTTTGATGTGTTGTCTCAGTTCAAAGGGCCCCCTGCCTGCTTTTCCTTAGGGTCCCAGATTTCCTAAACCTGCCACTGGATGAGTAAACTCTCTTTGTGAAACAGAAAACTTAGAGTTTCCTTGATTTCAGGTTTAGAAAACCTTTTTCAGTAAACCTACTTTTTCAAACAGACCCTTGGGATACAGCAACAACCATATAACTAACAAGCTGATGCCTAAAGTGTCTCATTGTGCTCATTGAAGTTGGATGAACAACACCTGGAAGAAATCCTGCCTGATTTATGTTTGGATGATGTCACAGTGCGTCTTAGGGGACCCCGTTAACTGCTTTTACACGTATGACTTTAATTAACGCAAATGTGTGAATTAATCTATCATAAGGTAAAAATTGTGACATCACTTTCACAAGTGGATAATAGCATAGTAAAACATAGCAGCTAAAAAATTCAAAAAAATCTTTATGACATTTAACTAAAACTACATAAAAAGAAAAGTTCATCCTAATTAATGTCAGACAGCAAAAAGAAAAATCTTTACTGTGCTCTCCTCGTGAAAGACAGGCAGTGTCTCACCATGTTAACTATACTTGTCCAGGCCTGCAGATGGCAGTATTGTACAAAAAAAACCAACTACCATGGCTTTTGAAGTGTTTGGTTGACCAGAGCAGACACATTTTATTATTATTTTGTAAAAAGACCTAAATTAAATTTTTTCCTCCGCAAAAATAGTAAGCGTACTAAAATATTATGTGTTAAAGGATAATATTGTATTTCCTGAGAAAATAAATGCCTTAATATTATGTTCTATCACTCGTCTCTGCCCCATCTGTACCGGAAATGGAATTCTATTCTATTTCCTGGAGCTAACTTGTTTTATATTTTCCTTTCGTGTTAACATTATGGTATATTGTCCATAATATAAAGAGAGAAACAACTAATTTGCATATAAACACGGTTTAATCATATTTTATCAGACTGCTTTAAACATGTCCCATGATGATAACCTGTTTAATGGAGAATATGTAAAAAGCATCAAAATTGTCACAGAAAAGTCATAAAACATTTGTTAAAGATGTATATTGACATTCTTTAGTGAGTTAAGGGTAGAAATAAATAATTTTAGTACCATAATTACATTATTTATGGACACCCGGATGTATATATGGTTGTGCATGCGCAAATAAGCTCATTGTGCAAATCATGCTTCAGGGCCACTGCAGCACTTTTCTGCTAGCATAACAACAATCTGGTGACAACAACAATGTTGCAACAAAGGAATGTTGAGCACTAGAGAGAATATCTTATATCCACAAATTTTTTTTAAGAAAGCAGGCAAAATTCATTTATTTTCTTTAACAGCTTAACATGTTCCGCAAATAACAAGTTTAGAAGAGTGCGTCGCTTGGAGTTTTTGCTTCACAATTGTAGTTATCTGATTGGTTCCAACCTGATTATGCTTATCCTATTAGCCCCGCCTTTGAATTCAAGGCCTGTGTCTGAATGTCCGCCGTAACCATTAAAATCCCTCAATCACTATATAGAGCAGGGACTATATAGTGGACTTCAGACAGGAGATCACTATTTTTCACATGCCATTGGTCATGTAATTCCACGTCCCTGAACGGTGCTTGCACCATCTTTATTATTAGACACTGGTTCAACAAATCTCATGATGCTCTGGGAGGAGAGCTCTTGAAAAGCATTCTGGGATATATCTGCTTGTCTAGTGACCATCAATGATCACTACTTTTCATAGTGCATATCCACTACTTTTTCATGCACTAGACCTTTGGACACTAATCTAAAATAGCAAAACCACTACAATTCTATATATAGTGATTAGGGCAGAGGTTCGGACACAGCCAAGCTATACAGTTGCTTTTCCAGACTAATACGACATATATACACAGTGTATCAGTCTGGCTGGCCAGGCTAGCATTAGAGAGTCTTTAACAGGTATTTATTTAAAGAACAAACAAGGAAGATGGCAACAACTATTGAACAGTTCTCGTTTGATTCAGCTCTGGAATCACTTTTGGAAGGATTAGACTTGGGGTTTTCATTGAAACGTGAACAGGAAGAGGCTCAATGCTCATTCCTTTTTAAGAAGGACGTATTTGCCGTTTTACCGACAGGCTGTTTGTTTACACTCCCCCACCAGCTTTCTGTCGCGCTTCCGTCACAGTCAGTTGCACTCATTGGTCAGAGCGTTGGCCAATAGGCACAGACATGGTTTGAAAAACAATTGTTCTCATCAACAATCTTCCGATGTATCATTCATCGGGGCCAGACTAAATTGCACATTTAATCTCACATTTATTCTGGTTTATCAGGCTACTCTGGCAGGCCATTTTGATATTTATTAGTTTCTCTGAATAGGTTTTCTCTGAAATACATTTTTGTTCCTTGTCAAAATGACTACTTCAAACAAAAGGACATTCTTCACATTTAGAATAAACATTCTGGATGTCTAGAAATGAATTTCAGATCTCCATATTCCTATTGTAACTGGTCAGCATTTTTATAATTTATACTATGAATAAATGTATTTCAGATATAATAAATCCATATTCAAACCAAAAACAAATAGATCTCATATCCTTTCAACTGAGTTGTAGAAAATCTCCCTATAAATATTTAATTCTCTTAAAAAGTGCCGATCATTCTTTAATAAGATCCTCATCAAAAGGGGATGCAATGTTTGTTTTTAAAACCTAATGTCTATAACAGAACTAGAGAAGGATTTTTTTTTAAATATATATAATTTGCACAAAAACTAAGACCAAAATCTCCTAACTAAATCAGGAAATAAAACGTGATTGGCTGTAAGGAGAGCAGAGACATGAGACACTCAGAGTTTACTAAACACATCCTTCTCCTGACCAAGTCAGCTCTAGGGAGAATGTTACTACGGCAACATATCTCTTAGACTTTTTGTGAAAAGGAAAAATCAGAGTTTTCCTGGTTTCAGGTTTAAAAAACCTAGGGTTTTCAATAAACCTGCTCTTTGAAAAAGACCCTTGGGGAGCTAACTACTGCATGTGAGCCTCCGGAGAATTTTGCTCAGGCTGCATATGGTCTTAGTAAGATCAGCCTCACAGTAGTCTCGTTTAGGGGAATGACACTTCATTTGACAAATGGTTTTATGAAAAACATCAACATGCAAAACTTGTTATAGTTTGTCAGTCTGAAAAATAATCAGTTTTACCAAATATTTATGAGGAACTAACAAGTTCACAGATCTTGTAACACCAGAAAGTCCTGGATTGTATGTCTGTGCAAATTCTCTGTCATCCACGTCATTGTCACAACAAAAAATGGTTTCAATTGGAGGCAACTCAGTGTTTTGACAATGTTTTCAGATGTCTTGGTAAGTTCTTTTGACTCGCACTGGAGCTGTAGTTGGTCCCATGTTGTTTTTGAGAGGCATGGAGCTCCATCCTCCTAAGTACATTCCTGGGTTGTTGGAGTCAGCTATTTGTTTGAGTTTTATGTTGAAACATTTGAATCAGATTGAGATTTCTTGCTGTAGATGTTTGGAAGCTGAAACCATTATCCTGTTCAGGGATGACTTCCTTCACTCCAAATGTTGAGATTTTGGACAAAGAGAACAAATGGTTTGACTCATTTAATTCAAATGGCCAAACACAAAACCCATCCAAAATAAACAACTCTGATAACCCAGGAGAATAATGGGTGACTCACTGATTTTCTTCTGACTTGGAATGTGCTTAGGAGACTGAACCTCCTTAGTTAAATACATGAGCGTTCCAACCTTAGACTGCTCTTTGGTGTTTCAACAGAACTGACCAAAACTTCTGGACAGGTGTCAAAATGCCTTACAAAATCTGAGCGAATGTCCAGTCTCTTCTGATTGGAGCATGTTTTGTGGTGTCAAAATGAGTGTAGCTCATTATGAGTTTAATTAAACTGGAATATTTATTGTTGAAAGAAAAGATAACAAACAACTCATCAGTATTGACTTGTTTTCTTTATTATTAATCAGATTAGTTTTTAAATCCATGTGTTCAAACTTGCGTGCATAACTCTGTTTGCAGGTACAGTAAATATATATCAGAGGTAACATTACATAACATAATAACATTCAACGCATTTTGTTGTAGCAAAACCCAAAAACATATTTCTTTGCAAGCAGGGTATTTTGCAGGGCTGTAAGCGGTTCATATCAAAGGGTCAGCAGAGGGTTCACATGACAATGTGATAGCATTGTAGCAGCACGAAAGCAAACCCAAAGTGTGCTGCAACTATAGCTATAGTCAGACATGCTTGTGACATTCTGTTCTTCCCCAAACGCAGACCTTTATTCCCAATCACCAACAATGAATGACATCTTTGGCCTACATGGTTCTAATGGAATAAATCTGGCTTAACAGAAGTGACTAATTTAGAGCTTCTGAAGCGCCAACACCCTGAAGTGTCCCTGAAGGTAAACAGATAACTAAAGAGAAGGAAACATTTTCATACACAATACTTTTATCATGAGTTTTTAAATAGCAGAACATCTTTATTTACTAGAATTTATGCTTATAACAAACGTATTGATGTACAAAGAGTTTCACAGAAGCCTTTTTTAGCCCATCCTTCCAAACCCACCTCTACCTGCCTTCTCTCCTCCCAGCTTTTGACAGTGCGGTTTGATTGACATGCAAAACCAAGACCGGATCAGGAGGGTAATAAGTCTCCTGACATTTGCTCTATGACTTCACATCCTGCTTCTTTTTCTGGAATTTCCTGAACTGCGACTGGATGGCTACTGCAGCTCTCTGCGTCTCTGGGTCCTGCATGTCAATGTCAAAGTCCTCGGGGACGTTGTTCTTCTTTTCATCTGGAGTAGAGAGAGAGGGAAAGTGTAAAAACATAAACTTAGGCAAACCTTTTATTTGAATCTGTCTGAGTTTAAGCATCTTTGAAAAGAAGACATGAACTGGATGCACTGGTATTAACTTTTTCAGATTTGTTTCATTATGGGGACGATTTGGAATGAATATGTTACATTTTGGGGACTTGTACGTACTTTTGTGTGGGGGTGTGGATGTGTGTGTGTGTGTGTGTGTCGGGGGGGATCTGTTGTGACAGCACCTTCATGTATTGATTCATCGTTCTTCAGAGGATTCAATAGCGGGTGTGAGGAGCCACAGACATGCCCCCCAGAACCCATAGTAGACATTCACAGATATCTTTGAAACTTTAAAAGGTTCCCTATTACAAGAGCAAAGCTTCAATACAAGGGATATTATATATAACACAGTAGCTAAGTTTACATTGGAAAAATTAATCAAATTCATCCTAAATTTTAGTTGTTTGGAAGTTCAATCCAATTCAGTTTATCTATATTACGCCAATTCACCACATATGTCATCATAAGGCACTTAACAATTCAATCAGATCATACAGTCAGATTGGTTCAATGTTTTCTATCTAAGGAAAACCAGCTGATTGCATCAACTTATTATCAACTCACTGTCTAGTTTTAAGGAAAAATTCCAGGAGTAGAAGAAGAAGATGCCTGTTTTGCAAACAAACACATACTTTTCTGCTAATCCTCAACTTTAGCTTCTGTTTGTGCCCATTGCTCCCATTTGTTTTTCTTCAGTTCTTCAGTTGTGCATTTTGATGTGTTTTTTTTCCACTATGGACCTTCATCGCATCATACTTTTGTTGGTGGTTGTTTTAGTTTAGTTGAAGGCTCAGTGGTAGCTTATGTTAACACTCCTTTGCTACATGGGTAGAGGGCAGGATGGCATGTTCATCCACACATTACATTTAGAGCAACCTCCTCCTCCAAGGAGGAACCAGTGGATGAAGGTTAATAAAGAGAAAAACATCACACTGATGTTGCCAAATGAGCAAAAGAGATGATTTTACTCCAAAGATTAAATATGTACTCATTATCACCAATAGGAAAGGTGGTCTCAAAAGAAAAAAAAAACCCTCTTATTCAGAATGAAATGTCTTTCCGCCCGGACCGAATCAGATTAGAATCTTCAGTCTGACATGTTTACATCACATATTTTTGATCTGATCAGGCCTCCAATCCGATTATTCGTGCCAACTTAACATTGCTTTTGAGGCTTGTCACTATCCATTTAGGAGAATCACAGTCTGATTTTTTCAGCTTTCTGTTATGAAGCACATGAGGGTTAAATATGCAACCGCTAGTGCAAAGATACAGTGATAAAATTCAGCTTGACTGGAGTTTTATACTTTTTAAGCTATTGTACTATTTTCTAAGCTATCCAGCTGATCAACCTGGATTCCATTTCATCTTGTTGGCTTATTGGGGAGTGTTGGACAACAGCAGTGCGCTTGTGCTCTGAGAAGGGTACCCAGTTCGATCCCCACAGCCTCCACTCTGGGTTCCTAAACAAAACCCCTAACACCGTCTGCCATTGTGTGGCCCTGGGCACCACAGAATGACATCCCATTGCTCCACCAAAGGGATGGGTCAAATGCAGAAAGTGAAATTCCCCATTGTGAGACATAAAGGGATTTACATCTTTTCTGCATCCTAGAGGGTTGGCTACAATCTTACAAATTATATGTATTCTAATCAGATTCTCACATATGGTCACAGAAACAGGTGGCTTTAGCTTTTTCAGTTAAAACTGATATCTATAATCAATCAGAGCTTCTCAAACAGCAATTGCCTTTGCTTTCTCAGCTCCATGTTCAGCCCAGTGCACAAAAACATAACAAGCTAGCTAATTCCGTATCTGTTCCTGCCAAACAGACTGTGGCAGATAAAGAGCTTCCAGTGATGCAAAAAAAAAAAAACAGCTTGAAAATTTATTTTAATACAAGGCAAGCCTCATTTATTCTTTTTACAGCTATTTGTATAGTCTTTAACACAAAAAAAGACAAATCTGACCAGTGTTGTTTACTAAGTGATGCTTTAGGAGGGAAAGAGAGATGCTTTTATGAGAAACTATTCCAAAAAAGTTAACATAACAATCCACTGGACATTGTTTCCAAGTTTGAAGATGTTTCGCTTCCCATCCAGGAAGCTTTTTCCAATTCAAATATCAGAAATAGTGTTGAGTTCCAAGTTTTATAGAGTAGCCCAACAAACGATTGTTTTGGCCCCATTTAACAGGTTTAGCTTCTCCTGCAAAAACTTCACAGAAACAGTATCAAGGTTTAATTAATTATAAAACACTTTACCTCAACTTCAGTATCCATCAAGAAATTGAAGGATTTTCATACCCACAATATAAAATGAGAGTCTGTCTTCTCTATAAAAGAAATACACATACGAGGTGATCTACATCCAGCATTTTTTTATTTTATTTTACATGCATCCCTCCTTTGCAAAGGCAGCCAAACACGAATAGCATTGCTAAGACGACAAATCATGTAAAGCCAAATCTTATTCTCTGTGCTTTAAGGGCTAAACAGAGTGTATATACAGTGTTTATTGTTTACAAATATATATAATATGATCAATAAAACAGAAAATGTTCTCTACGTAAAAATGGATCTCCAGTTCATCCAGCACCAGTGCTCACTCTGTAAGGGCAAACGTTCAGTGGATTATTCATGCATCAAAGTGTTCAAACAGTGCAGGGCTCCAATCATGCTGTGGTGACCCACTGTGGCATCAGGAAAGTGTCCAATCTAGCTTTAAAAGTCATTTCTCCAAATGGTTTACTTACTTTTAGATGGAGCCCTTTGCGGACCTGGTATGGCTTGGATGTTAGAGAAAACAAACACATGTTTAAACTAATATTAATATAAACATTCTTAATTTGACTCAAAGGTTGAACAGGAACAAATTTATAAAAACATTTTGAGATTTTTTTTTCCCATTTTAGTGATGGGTTCATGAGGCATCTTGAAGCGTTTCAACACATTGGCAAACTGTATTGATACTGCGTTGATGCTGTCTCACAGAATACTGACTCCTGCTGGACCTTTAAAGACACTACAGTCAGCTTATTTGACAGACTAAACTGAATTGATTTTATGAGGTAGTACAATGATATCCATCCATTTTCCATCACGCTCATCTCAAGCAGGGTTGCGAGGGGTGCTGGTGCCTATCTCCAGCTGTCTAAGGGCGAAGAGGCGGGGTCCACCCTGGACAGGTCGCCAGTCCAGCAACACGGAGACAAACAGGACAAACAACCGTTCACACACACACACTCACACCTAAAGAGAATTTAGAGAAGCCAATTAACCTAACAGTCATGTTTTTGGACTTCGGGAGGAAGCCGGAGTACCTGGAGAGAACCCACGCATGCTCAGAGAGAACATGCAAACTCCATGCAGAAAGACACCAGCCCAGGAATCAAACCTGGAACCTTCTTCCTGCAAGGCAGCAGTGCTACCCACTGCAACACTGAGCATTCAGTACAATGACATAATTTAATTTATTGTAGGTTATATTGTATTAATTCATATCTATGCTTAAATTGAAAATCTTTGATATTATTTCAGATGCAGCCAATAAATAATTTAAACATATAGAACATGTAAATTAGGGGAAAATGTGAATGAGGATGCTTCTTGACTAGGTTTTAAAATCATAATATTAAAACAATAAGTACAATAAAAACAGTAAATAAACTAAGGGTCAATTTGAAATTAACTTTAATTCCAATAAATTGAGTGATAACTGAGAGAAAAAGGATGACACAACTAGAAAATTAAAATAAAAACACAGCGGCTGAAATGTTGCTGTTCCTTTTAGGTTGCTCCAAAATTGTATTTTCAATGATAAACCGCAAAAGATCAGACATTTCCTTTAGTAGATGCATAATGTTGACAGATACGTTTTTAAACACAGTTTAGTTTGTCAGTCAGTTAGAAACAACTCCTGTATCGGTTGCATGACTTTCTTAAAACTGCACAAGCACCAATACAGCGTTTTCCCCATGGGCTCGACGCATGCACCAACGCTGGACCCATCACTATTCCATTTTATCTGATTGTGAAAAACATCAGCCTTTTTCATAGAATTTTATATTAAAGGACCTTATATACTCATATTTAGTCTTCAAAGCCCCTTGCCACGTCTGGGATTAAAATATAAATCCAAAGCAACACATTTCACACTGCTTGGAAATTCAATTATCAAATCTCTGTCTAGCACTTCTGGGATGTGTTCCTCTGGGATGGACCTGAGCTATAATGTTCTCTGTCAACTGGGACAGAAATCCAATTCCACAGCAGTCCTTCCAGGTTTATCAGCGGGCCCAGAGAGTAGAGCTGTGGTTCTCCAAGTACGTATAAGCAATGTTTTTCTTCCCTGGATTGATTTAGCTGTGAATGGGCTGCTATTGACCTGCTTACTCAATTGTGTTAGAAGAAAGTTCCCATAATGATGTTTACGGAACTTTCACACTGAGAGTCTGAGAAACTCTCAAGTCCATAGTCTGTTCTACCAAGTGCAGCAAAACAAATAAGCAAAAGGGATAGACTGCAAATAAAAGGTTTCACTGTTCAAACAGAACTAAGAAAACTAAATCTGAAAGCATTAAGTGAAGACACTAAACTAGAAATAAATCCTAAAGCAGAAGTACAGGATACAAGTAACAATAACCTCTGAGTAAATATAAAGGTAGGTGATCAGTGGAACAAGACACACAGAAAAACTCACTGAGCAGAGCGGTAGAAACCAGAGGCTGAAAACCTAAAAGCAAAGCTCAACATGTGACTAAATATAGTAACTAAAGAAGGAACAACGGGGCAGACAAATTCATGAGGTGGTAAAGACTCTAAAGCCAAAGTTAAGGCAGGTCAGCAATCATCATGAAGTGTTGTCCTAATAACATTTGGTAGTTAGTTATCGCAGGGTTCGACAGGAATCCTTCATGTCCATGATGTAACGATGTATGTAAGGCGGAAGGCTGTCAGGATTTTGTCCAGAGTTACTTTCCTACCCATGATAGTGTTTTAATGTTGACCCCACAAAACTTTAAATGGTACCAAAATTAAATGTTAGGCCTAAATGTTCGGCCTCTGGCTGAATCCAACAAAAAGTACACAGAGAGAAATCGAAACAGGTATAAAAAAATCAATATAAGCATCCTAAGAGGAAACAAATAAAGATCTTTCTAAGTCTTTTACCTCAAAGCAAAATTGAAGACATTTGTAAAAGACATAAAATCTTTGGAAGGAATTTATATCACAAATATGAAAACAATGACTTTCTATCCATTGTTATTTTTAGGCCCATTGTTTAGTTTCAGGTAAAAACCCAACAGACTGAATAACCTTTCCTTCTCAATTAGAGGTTTGCTAAAAAGATACCTTGGCCAGCAGGTGGTTTGATGTTTCCAGACATCGCTCCGGGAAGTTTTCTCTATAAACATAAAGAAATGAAAAAGATTTTTAACACATAAAAAGACATGAAGCAAATATAAAAATAGTTTCAAGATTGTTTTTTTTTAATGTTCTTATTTTTTAATGTTTTTCAGCTAATATAGTAATTTAGACAGGATTGAGGTTAAACCGAACACGAGGTTAATTTTTTCTTCTCATTTTAATTAGAACTATTCATCCATTATCTGTCACATTTATCCCAAGCAGGGTCATGAAGGGTGATGGTGTTGATGGGCAAGATAAGAGTCACCAGTCCCTCGCAAGGCAACACAGAGACAAACAACCATTCACTCACCTAAGGAGAATCTAGAGAAGCCAATTAACCTAACAGTCATGTTTTTGGACTGTGGGAAGAAGCCAGAGTACCCAGAGAAAACCCACACATACTCAGGGTGAACATTTAAAGCTGTTCCTGCTGCTTTAGGTGTGAACGTATCATCCTCAACTTTTTTCCTCAGGTCTTTTCTACGTGGCTGGAATTTCATTTCAGCTTTAAAGCTTATCCACTATAAAACTGTGATCAATTATGACTCCATAGAGTCCACTGTCCATCCCACGAGAGCATCAAGGGCCAGAGAAGGAAATTATTCAGCAACCAACTAATAATTTTAATAATCGGTGATGTGTTACAAAACGAAACACAACACTTTGAAGAAGTTGTTTCGCTATGAGTGCCTCTGGTGTCACTGAGTTCCCAAATAACTATTAAACCTTTAAAGGTGCCGTAGGAGATCTTGGAAAAAGGATTCCAGCACCACCACTCGAAACCACGCCTTCAAAACCCATGAAAGCCCATTATGTCCGACGTGTTCGGATGTTTCCAAGATCGAGAACAAAACAAGCCGAGAATGAGTTCTCGTGACATAAGCTAACAACAACATAATGCCACATTCACACCTAAAGCTGCAGAGGCAAAAGCAGCTATAGTTATATACACAGTCAATAGTTGATGTGCAGTTGGGGCGGGGATCTGTTGTGACAGCACCTTCATGTACTGATTCATCGTTCTTCAGAGGATTTAATAGCGGGTGTGAGGAGCCACAGACATGTCCCACAGAAACCATAGTAGACATCCCCAGATATCTTTGAAACTTTAAAAGGTTCCCTATTACAAGAGTAAAGCTTCAATTCGTTCATGTGTCAGGGTACGCACACAGGGGAGAGGGAGAAGCAGACAACCCTGATTGATGTGTCAGGGACCAATAGTCGACAACGGACCATGATTTGTGAGTGGTGGATGTTACTCATTGATTTCACACTGTAGCGGGGACTTTCTTTTTTTGTTTCACTTCCAGACCTTCTATTTCACTACTTGATACACGGCTGTGGGGAGATCTTCAAGCCACATGGTAAAAAATGCGTCAGAAAAGATCTCCTACTGCACCTTTAAAAAGGATGGCAATGTACCAACTTCAGTGCTGTAAAAGCAACAGGATCCAAAATGCAAGCATTTACTCCCTTATTGTGTAACGTGATGCACTAATGGTTCAAAAAGCTCATGAGTCACATTTACAAAGATGGGAAACCTTAACTAGTGTAACTTGTAAATAATGGAACAATAGTACCAGACCAAACTTAAAATTTTATGAAACAAAAATGTTTTTTAAATGTTTTTTGCACAATCTAATATCTGTCCACAGTGCACAGGCAATCAACTTGATAATTATATTCATGCGTTATGGTTATTCACGCCAGTTGAGAGGTTCTGGGTACAGGTATGTAAGACCTTATCACTTAGATGAAGGGATCTATCATTTAGTGGAGTGAGGGGCTGTGGGATGCGCCCTGCGGGATGCATAGGCTGGTTCAGGGGTCCCTGGGTCTTGGGGCTATGGGGGGTGCTCGGAGTGGGGCACTTTGTGGATCTGACCCCGGGGTCTGTTGCCCCCAACTGGGTGTCCTACAGCAGCCGCTTGCGCTGCTTTTGGGTGATTCCGTGGTGAGGGACGTGGGTTACTGGCCTGGTAGCTGTGCTGTCGCCGGGTGGGTCCGTGGTGGGTCTGGGGTCCGTGGGGTGTAATGCCCGGGGCGTTGTTTTTTGTACATCTCTCTTTGCAGGTGATAAAGCAGACTAAAGATGTTTTATCATTGTCTCCCTTTTATCTCCTCTTTCTTTCATCTTTTCTCCTTTTTCCTGTTTTTTCTTTCCTGTTCTAATTACATTGCATCCATATAATCTGTAATACTGCCTGCATGAATTATAATAAAGCTATTTATATGCATAAATCAAGCAGAACACTATGGCGATAGCCGTACTGCTCCATTTGTAAAAGCAAAAACTGTTGGGCTCTTTCTTGGCATCATTCTTATTGCCACATTGCCAGACAGGACACTGTTAAAACAAACATAAAACTAAATAAATAAATGTTTAGGAAAGATTAAGAAAGATTTAACTCACATTGTTCTGTAATGTTACTCAGTTATACTAATAGGTTCAGACATTTGCTTTAAATTTGTGAAACCATCTATAACTGGAAGCCCATCTGAGGTGCTGCTCGCTGCTCTGAGGATTTGTTTATTTTTCTATTAACTCAAAGCGTTATGACATTTATATTAAGGGAACTATTGATTATTACAACTTCTCTAAGGCTCAGTTATAAAAATAATTACTTTTCCTTTAAGTTGTTTTTTTATTAGATTCAATTTCACACATACAGAGTGTCATCAGCTCTGCCTGTGATCAGAACCATTCTTTACAATCCATGCAGAGGAGGCTAGGAAATAAAAATTCGCTCTATAAAAGCTGTTTATTACACCACAGGTCTCAAAGAGAATATGAAATGTTTCAAAAATCAGTGCTAATAAGCTAAGGAGTGGATGTGGGAAAGTTATGGATATAGATGACAGGTCCACAGTTGAAAATCACTGAAATTTGGTGGAAAAACCCAAAAAACATTTTTTTAACAGCATCACATATCTGAAAAACTTATCTCTAAGTAATATTTAGTAAGTATTGCTATGGGTAGAGACTACTGGTCAAATAAATAAACTACCTTGCAGATGTGTGGCTATTTTTGGTTCTTATAACAGCATGGACTCCCCAGAGAGAGACACCATGCTGCACTCAGGATCTATTAAGAATTTAACAGGGAGATTGAAAAACTAGGTCACAGGCAGCTCATCCCAGCAGCACCACTGCTCCGGAGCAGCTTCCCCTCCAGCGGACTGGGAGCAGGGATGACAGTGAGACCAGGATGTAAAGCTTGATTATATGAAGACCTGCAGCCCTCTGTTCATCTTTTATTCTTTATCGAAAAAACCTTTTTAAGAGTTTTGGAGCGTATAACCTATAAGGTTAGTTAAATGTGGTAAAAATAAAATAAAATGTTAACAGAAATCCCCTAATGCTACTAACGTAGTAATGTTTCAGTTTACTCCGCTAGTTGTGAAGAAAATAACGAATGTGATACGTCACAGCTGCTCCTGCTGCTTTGATTGGCTAACAGCTCAACATGGAGGCAGGTATATCCAATCAACTTAAAGAATTGTACTTAATGTCCCTTCCTTTTACCAACGCTTTCTCATTGGGCCTTACTAGATTGACAATGTATAGAGTTCAAATTGAAGTTCATGTGTTGATCTGTCTTATGCCAGGTTAGATTATACCGTCTAAGTATGAAAATGATCTGTCCAGGCAGCAGACATTATCCCTGCAATAATGTCTATCGCTATACGTTGTGTTAATAGATTTGTCAAGTGTCCTATTAGCCATTGGCTTGTTTGCTTGTGGCTTCTTTATTGAAAACTTACAGGAACAAAAAGCTTGTAAAATGATAGTGATAATTCAATTCAGTTTGTTTCTATAGCACCAATTCACAACACATCATCTCAAGGCATTACATAGAGACAATTCAAGATTGGTTTAAAGTTTTCTAACCAAAGAAAAACCACCTAATTACATCGACTTATTGACTCAGAGGCAAACCCTCACACCAAATTATTCAATAATTCGTCATTTCAGTTCCATAAGGAACACCTTTTATTAACTAAGACTCTTCAAAAACATTTAAAGTAAATATTTTTTTTTCAAAAGATTCTACTTGTACATTTTAAAGGAACATGAAAATGGTTTCCTGGCTGACACTGTAGCCTTCTCACAGTCTCTGAATGGAATAACAGGATATAGTAAGTATACTATATAGAGCAAACTACAGCAAAACTGCAGATAAAAACTTTCATGTTAATGAAATAATGGTCCCAACGTCAAACATTTCTTTTTAAGTCCAGCTGAGTCTATTTGGATTGTGATCCATAAGGAAATATTATTTTATTCTTTAGCCTTTTTTAAAATAAAAACAAACAACCCACTATAAGAAACTTTGAGCAAATTACTATTTTCCCTTTATATTACATTATAGTGGGATTCGTACAGGGAATATTAAATAAAAAGAAGCAAAAAAAGAACCTTTGTAAATTTCATAAATTTAAAAGAATTGATGCCAAATATCCTTTAATACTGATTAGGAACCGTTGTTATGTATTCAAAATCTCTTTTTAATGTACAAACAACATATTTTACCTTTTTTATATACCTTTTCCAAAGGTTTTCAAGAACACCATATTAAAATATATATATATTGAAACCTAAGTATTCATACATCTCAACTAATTAAAATTCAATTCAGTTTCAATTCACAACACATGTCATCTCAAGGCTCTTTACAGTTTATCAGATCATACAGTTAAATTGATTTAAAGTTTTCTATCTATGGAAAACCAGTTGATTGCATCAACTCATTGACTCCAATGCATGCTTGTAGCGACAGTGGAGAGGAAAAACTCCAGCAGAACCAGGCTCAGTGTGAGCGGCCATCTGTTAACCAGCTCTGGAGGTGACCCTGTTTAAAAAAGAGCCAAGCAGATGAGTCAGAGGATGAAAGTGGGGTAAACCCAATATCTGAAAAATGGGTAAGAGCAAAACAAGCATAAATTTAGTTAATTTTTTAAAAATATTTTAACTGTCAATGAAGATGATTTATATA